ATGGCAAATTTAGTTTATTGAACAATCCTATACAGATAAATATAAATATTAGCCTAATGCATTTAGGTTAATGTTTCTTTCTACCGATTTTAAATCAGTTTAGCTGAATATTACAAAAATGTATTTTGCTTTAATCAATATCTAACACCGTTCCTAGCTTATTTTTCACGTTAGACATTATTTAAATTTGTGTACCTTAACTTTAATCTTAAGTAACCTAAAATAAATATATTTAAATAAGAAAAAAGTAAAGTATACCCTCCCGTTGTTGCATTGCATAAAAGTTTATATAAAATAATATATATAGTATCTGCAGAATATACTTTGATATTTTGCCATACCAAAATTTGGTCGTCCTAGGAATGTGCGTGAAATGTGTGAAAAGAAAGGACGAACTAGCCACGCCAATTTCTTTGTAAGAATTACTAACTTAATAAGAATTATTCTTCGTCATATAAAAAAACAGAAAAAAAATCTTGTTTTGAAATATTTCAAGTAAAGTTTCCATTTACATAATATTGTGTCAGTGTATTTAGACTTGGAATTAAAATAAATTCGATGACATTGAAGTTTTTCTCCCCTTCATAAAAATTATGTAAATGAAAGGATTACTGAAGGCATAAAAACTAGAAGTCATTCCTGTTTCTCTAATTGTGGCTTTAAAAAAAAATCAATGTTAGAGTGGTGTCCTAATTTTTGACTTTTTTTTTCTTAAATCATAAACTTTTAAATCAAGTTTGTTAGTTAGCATTTTATAATTATATTGTTTTACATTAAATGTTATACAATTATGTTGTCATATAATTAAAAATGTTATTTAAATTGTTAGTGTTATAAAGTCTCACTTGCATTTTGCTAGTCTATACAGTAGGTATTCCTATATGTGTTCGTCTTTTATCTTGAGATGCTACTTAATTATTATCAGGGTCGTCAAGAAGAGATGAGATGAGGATTTTTTCCCAGCCAGAAAACTTAGGGCCTTTAGTGGTTTCTACTATAAATTGATGTTATTTTTCTATAAATAAATAAAATATTTAAAATTGCTATTTATTAATAAACATTCTACAATAATTCATTCGTTCAAAAAAGATAAAAGAATTCTGCTAAGAAACAAAAGGCACCTCTCTATACACCAAGCTTTTGTTTGTTCTAATTATTGCTAATTGTTTACATAAAATTAAATTTTCATCTTCAGAATTTGTGCCAATTTAAGCAAAATACGGATTCATACTTCTTTTTAGTGGAAGGTTTAACAATATAATTATTTATTTGCAAACATAATTTTATTTAAGTTCATAATTATAATTAAAACATTAACTTAAGTCATCCAACTATGAAAAATAGCGATGCTCAGTATCAAATCATGTCATCTTCACATTAACTAATCAAGGTCAACTATATTTGTCCAGTTTTTCAATAACTATAATTAACAACACCAATTTAGGCAAGAAATGTCTTTACATTTTTATATATTGCAAGATTTTAATGTTACCATTACAAATTTTAGAAGTAAATTTAAAAATAAATTTAAACGATATTTAAAAATATCGTTCTATTATAATAAATTACAATTTTTCATTTAAACAATAAAAATTAACAGACTAGCTATTTAATCACGGAAAAAAATGATACTGTTATCCTTGATTCTATAATAGATTTCAGTAATAAAGAAAATACCAGAAATCTAGGTCTTTTTTTATATTTCAAATTAGATTTATCTCCTAAATTTGACAAGTAAATTTTGTGCATAACTATTTTTATTTTAATCAATGTTTTTCCTTTAAAATATTCTTGTCTGAACTCATATTAGTGAAGTGGCTAGACGTTCGGAATTAAGCGGGACAGTCCGCTTAAAACTGAAAAAAAAAACATCTCGCTTTTGGTCTGTTTCTTAATTATATTCAAAAGTAGCCAGTATTTATTGCATGATTTAAAAATCAATAATGAATTGCATACGAGTTATGGATGGGTAATACAACTGGGTAATACATTTCCAATTTGGCTACTGCTTCTACAAATTGGATATTAAAATGATTGCTCATTTTAATATCCAATTTAATATCCAATTAAAATGTAGATATTATAAATCCTTATAAATATTTTCATAGATATTTATTTGTGAATCATTTATAATAATTTATTTCATTCAAAATTGTAAATCTACTAATTAAATATAAATAAAAGTAGTTCAAGGTGAAGATATGGCAGATTAGACAGTAGGACTCGACTGCTTCATGTTAACAAGATGATTATTTTTTTTATTAAAAAATACTCTGATATGTTAATTATATTCTTTAAATCATCAGTTTATTTTTAAATAAAAACAGACACTAAAAATAAAGATACAGTTTCAACAAAAGGAAAGGATATTTAAAGCAAAACTATTTAATACCTTTGTAATCATTTTATTAAAAACACTGTATACGATTGAAACAATTAATATGTATTATAAACACACGTAAAAGGTATTTAAAGAAGTAAGAAAAAATTACCAAATTTGAGGTGCCTTTGTTAGAAAATGGTTGAAAAACTGTCTTGTTCCATTATTCCAGTCCAATCTAATTACTTTTCCGGCTGTTATATATAACAGAGGGAAAGTATGGAGGTCAGTCAACAAATGACGCCCGAAGATTTTTACATTTTTGGACTTAGGACAACTTGAAACGTCGAGAAATACAAAAAAATTCGGAGATAATTTCTGTAATGTATAAATGTTAGTTTGTGTGTGGCACGATATTGTTCACCCTCTTTGAAGCTTAATAACTTCTGTACTTTTTGTCGAAAAGGGAGGTTTGTTTATTAGAAGAATTGATGCTATTAAATTTTGGTGGTTAAAGGTCGAGGGAGAGGGGAGATAATGGGGGTCATGTGTATTTCCAGTAACGGTAAAGGTCAATTTTACTCGTTATTAACATTTACAATTTTTTTTAAAACTCATCCCTACCCTTAAAATGAAGCTTTTTACCATTTTATAATAGTTAAAAATATAAAAAGTTTTTTAATTAAATGTGATAACAGATGGCGCAAGCAAAATTTTAAATGTTGCCGGGAAAGTTCAGAAACTAGTTGTTGATTTATTTTTTCATAATACAGTAGAGTCCCGAAAACTCGGCCTAATGTGGATCGAAGGGTGGCCGAGTTTGTGAAAATGCCGGGTTATCGGGAATAGGGTTAAAAAAGAATAAGTATGAGTTTTTTTCTTTTTTTAAGGGATAAAGATAGACTCGAAAAGTTAATTTGACTTTTTGTAAATAGTCTAAACTTCAATTATAAATAAGTACGAGTGTTTCCTCAGAAAATACTGTACTGTACTTGCATGTACTTGTATGATTGAGAATACAACAGAGAGTAAACTGCCCAAATATCCTTAAACAAAGGAAAAGTAGTCTACTGTAGGCCTACATACTTTATAAAGGCATAGAGCCTTTACTACATAAAAATGAAAATTAATGAATACATAGTGTACAGTAACTTGCCTGATAAGATAGACCTCAGAAAAATACTTTATGAAGCATAAAGCTGTCTATAATGAAAATTAAGTAGGGGGTTTTTCGACCTGCCAGGGTGTGACCGAGTTATCCGGACTGCCGGGTTATCGAATGCCGAGTTTTCGAGACTCTACTATACTTAAAACATGTATTTTAATCTTATTTTGTGCTGTTTATTTTTATTTTTTAATTTGATACGTGAATAAAAACTGTTCCCATTTTTTTTTTAAATCGAAGGCCAATTTTAATACCATAATTTAATGAAATCGATTTATTAGTATGGACTGTAGTCTATTAATCAGTAACAAAATCATAACTGTTTTTCAAACTAAAAAATATTTTTCAGTTTAAAAAATGCTTATCATATAAGTAAATTAATTCGTAAATATTGTAAATAAATACTAATTTTATTTATATATTTATTGTCTACGTAGCCTTTATTTATTTGGATAAGTTTAATTTGTAATCTTGAGAAATTTTTTATAATATTAATTAAATATTAATACAAAAACCTCAATTTATTTTAAATTTTAGACACAAATATTAGATTTTTCTGCTCATAATATGGAAATTCTATCGACCTATATAGTATAGTCATAATTAAAGAGTAGGTGTTCAGAATTATTGGGTAAATTTCAACCAAAATTATTATATATACTGTATATAATGCGATTTCTATTTACCAGAAAAAAATGTTTTACTTTAAGATTCAAACGCTAGGAGAAATTTAGCACTGCTGTTTCTTTAATGTACATATTATACAGGTTTTCTAACGAATTTCAGGAGTTAATAAACAATGTTATCACCTTATTTCAATTACAAATTTGATTAGAGATGCGAATTACTGGATTGACGATTACATTAAAGATAAGATTCTATGTGCTGTTCATCTCTATGCTCTAAAAACTCCATTCGCTACACAATACACTCGATGGCTGAACTGAGTTATCGCAAATGGGGAATTTTATCTTTAAAGACAACTTGATTGGAAACATTTGCCTTGATAAAGGAGGCACTTGAAAAAACTAACTATAACAGTGAGTTATTCGAACGTTATCAAAGTTATTATATTTAAATTGGAGATTAGAGACTTATACAAGAAGGAGCATAAGGGGGCACAGGCATCCTGCGTATATCTGTTTCCAATTTCTTCAAATAATATCTGACATATCAATGCTATAGTTTGCAATATATCTAGAAATTATTTGAAATTATATTTTTGGAATTTATAATTTATAAAGGCACTTATGATTAAAGCTCATCCCGATTTAAGAGGGATTTCTAGGAAGGACGTAAATCGGGGTTGCACTATACTGTGTAGAAAAAACTCTTTATACTTAAACATTATGCTAAATAATTAAAATAATTATTGAAATCAGATTATATTTATTATAAAAATGGATAAAATTTTAAATAATACACTTACTTTTTAATGAATTAAGTCAAAATATTTTAAAATTAAAAATAAAGACACGTCAATTTAAAAATTTTTCATTTTCAGAATAGAAGAAATATTTAAATTTCATATTCGATAAATTTCGCATTCGATTGAGTTCATTCTTTGAAATATAGATTTGTGGTCAAATAAATTTGACTTACAGAATTAATCAACAGTAATAAAGGTAAAGTTAGAGTTTAATTTGTAACAAAGTTTTTCTTCTGAAAGAAATAACAAAATTTATTACTAATATGTATGGATGTGTGATGGGTAATTTTTATAAAAATATAAATATCATTATAAATTTGTTAAAATTAAATAATAAATATCATAATCATATCAATTGTAATTACAGAAATTGAAAAAATTGATGAAATATTTTATTAATAATTTATAAAGTTATTTATAATTAGAAAAGTACATTATCTTTTTATGTCCTTTTTATGAAGATATATCGGTTCTAATTTTATCTAACATGGTTGGCTTATCCTGCAAAGTGATCATCCAGCATATATGATATCATGATCTGAACTTGCCACGGGAAACTAGAATGATTCAGACCCTATTCAAATCAAATCATTCACGACATAGACGAGTTTTGTACTGTTATTTGGCTGACTGAAACTAGTTAGATCAAATTGATTGCTTTCATGTTAATTAATTGATTGTGTTATTATTGGAAAGTTATTAAGCTTTTATTTTAATGATGCGCATCACTTTTTGATTAGTTCTTAAAGTGAAAACTATCCAAATATGTGTATAGTGATTACACGAGTTATTATACCATATAATCATTTTGGCAAATAAAATATTGATTTATCAAAGTAAAAATAAATATACGTTTAAGTAAATAAATATTTTCGCAAAGTAAATATACATTTTTGGCCATGTGGTTTCAGAAATGTCAATTTAGCCTTGCATCAAAAAAACGCCACTATTTTAGAATTGAACACTCGTTCTAATAAACGAGCACTCAATTGAGTATCTCTTACCCCATTCTGCAGCCTGGCCAAATCCACGATGAGCCTGAAAAGAGTCCTCTTAGGTGCCCACAGGACGATTTATTTATTTAGTTATTTTATTACAATTACAGATAGAGCATTAGTTATGTCGAAATGGAATTGAAGTTATTCCGATTCTTGTGGAAAACTTAATCAGTACTAGTTATTTACATTGATCGATTTAGGACGGAAAAGAAAATTTGAAAACAAAGTAAATTCGTAAAAATTAACTCCGGTTTACTTTCAATTTTATTTTCACATTTGATCAATCTAGAATCCACAAATTTCAAATTGTGCTGATAAAAATATTTCACCGAATCTTTCAGATCCAAATACCACTGATGTTGCACATACGTTAGGTAAAGGTGGCAATAACATGGATATCGATCAATCAGAAATATCAAGAATTTCAGATGATAATATTGACAACCACGAAATTGTTGACATCTCGGATGAAGTGTCTAATGAAGTCTTAACCGAATCTGCTAGACATGGAGAATCAACAAATCTTACATCATCCGCGAGAAAATTAGGAGTAGATCGCCAGTCACGAAAATTTAGAGTACGTATTTAAATACATTAATTAACATTTATAATGTTAAATTAAACTATTTTTCTCGTTGCTTTTCTCAGATTCCTGTCACAATATGGATACTGGTCACAATATTATGCCTTTCAGCATTGGTTTTCGAAGTTGTACTTTGGGGACAAACTGGTTTTGGAACTTTACCCAAAATTTTTCTGCAAGTTTTTGTCATCATCATCATTATAACGGCTTTATCTCAGATTATTGTAATCAAATGGTCGAATGAATTAAATACTATGGAAAGTATTACTAATTTAATACACAATTATACATATAATAAGAACACTCGGGTCTCACCAACTTAACGGAACTTTCAATAAGATAAGGTTAATAAACATTAATTATTTTTCAGCATTTTGAATTGTATGAATTTGTGAAATGTTATTTATGTTAGAATGTAAAATATGTATAATATATTTCGACTAAAGTTTTTATTTTTATTTTTTCCTTATGTCTTAAGTTCATAAACCTGCTTAGATTCTAAACTATTTTATATTTAAATGTAAATATAAAATAGAAATTATCTCTATGGATTTTGTAAAATGTTAAATGTAATTTTATTTGATGTGTTTTGAATAAAATATGTCAGCATATGAATTTTGAAAATGATTAGCTTAGTTTATGAATAATACATAACAGTTTGTCTAGTCATAAAAATAATTATTTAAGTAGGCCTATAGGAAAATACAAAAAATATTAATATATGGTTAATTAATTATTTCTTTATTACTAAATCTTAAGACCGGTTATTAGGCAAACCTAGGCATTCGCCTAGGGACACCATGATACTCGCGTGCCAGCATTACTAAAAGAAAGAACATTAATTAGCATTAAGTAATAAAATATTTTAAAAATTGTTCATAATTTTGTAAATATCCATACTTATGGATATTTACAATTTAAAATTTGAAATAACGTGACTTCTGGTTTGTATCAAAAGTTCATATATAGTTAATCGTGAACTCCTTCCATTAATCTTTCTATATATGGTTTCGACTTTCATCTAACTCCATTCTCGAAATTAACAAAAGACAGACGGACAACAGTGGAAATTTATAGGTCTACAATTTTTTTTAAATTGCAGCCCAATAAAAATCGCTTCATTTATTTACATAATGATTATTTACATAGGAATGATTGAAGAAACTATAAATTGTTTGTTGTTAGCATACGCAGAGGTTTCCGAAAGCGATAGCCAAATCTGTTAGGCCAAATTTTTAAGTTGGATTCATTGGATTCTCAATTGTGCCACAGTAAAAAAAAATACACCCATAATGAGATAGTTTTTAAATGTTTACAAACAGTTCAGAATTTTGTAAAGAAAGATCAAAGTGACCTTTGTATTTTTAGCAGTGGCATAGCGTAGTGGGGGCGGCCCGCCTCGGGCGGCACTTTTAGGGGACGGCAAAATTTCACAATAAATAATAATAATATCTTGTAAAAATTTGAACTATTTCATTTCATATTTTTGTCGCACCTACGATTCGGACCGATTGAAATGAGCACGGAATTTTTCGTTACTTATTCTGTGACGAAACTGAATTTTAGTCTTTTAAATTGCGATACCTAAATAAGAGGGCGGCGAAATTTTCCTCCGTTCCGGGCGGCTGACACTCACGCTACGCCACTGATTTTTAGTATAGTTCCAGTATTATGTGGCTGTGCAATATGGTTTTTACATTTAAGGATTATCTTTTTAAAATTGTACGAATGGACATAATCTTTGATATTATTTTTCAAATACATTTAAAAAGATACATTATTGTTACTCTTCCTATGCTTTAAATCTCATACATAAAATAACGAAAAAAATTATTGAAATTAAAGTAGAATTATGTATTCTCTTCTTCTATATTTTAAAATTAAACAATTTAAAATATAGAAGAAAAGAATTATGTATTCTTTTCTTCTAT